GATATTCAAGGTGATGGAAAGCAATGACCTACAACCAAGATTACTCTATCCTGCAAAACTATCATTTAGAATTGATGGACATATCAAGAGTTTCCCAGACAAGAAAAGCCAAGGGAGTTCATCACCACAAAACCAGTATTATATGAAATGCCGAAGGGTCTACTTGAAGGAGAAGAAGAACAAAGATATGAACAATAAAATGGTAATTAATACATATCTATCAACAACTGAATCTACAAACAAAATAAGCAAGCAGAACAGAAACAGACTCATAGATACAGAGAACTTTTTGTTGCTTGCCAGATGGGTGGGGGCTGGGAGCATGAGTGAAAAAGATGAAGGAATTAAGTAATACAAATTGTTTTTTAGACTAATGAACTTCAAAGGAAGGGGGGAAGGGAGGGTGGGATGAGATAAAGCAAAGAAATTCTATGCATATATGCATAACAAATGGACACCAACAACAGTGTGGGGAAGGCAGGAGGGGGGTGGGATTGGGGAAGAGGGGGTCAATGGGAGAAAAAAAGTGAGGAACATCTGTAATACATTCAACAATAAAGATGAGTTAAAAAAAACATCATTGTGATCAAACAGCCTGGTACTGGCACAAGAACAGGCATATAAGTCAATGGAACAGAGCAGAGACCCCAGAAATCTACCCATGCCACTACGGTCAATTAATATTTGATAAAGGTGCAAGTGCATACAATGGAGTAAGGACAGTCTCTTCAATAAATGGTGTTGGGAAAATTGGACAGCTACATGCAAAAATTTGAAACTAGACCACCAACTTACATCGTACACAAGAATAAACTCAAAATGGATGAAAGACCAGCCCTGGCAGGCATCGCTCAGTGGTTATAGCATCAGCCCATCAAGGGCATGTACCTGGGTTGCACATTCGATCTCCAGTCAGGGCACTTGTGGGAGGCAACCAATTGATGTGTCTCTCTTTCTCCACTCTTGCTCTTTTCTCCCTCCCCCTCCTACTCTCTGGAGATTAATGGAAAAAATATCCTCAGGTAAGGATTAACAACAACAACAACAAAAATGGATAAAAGACTTAAATGTAAGTTGGGCAACCATAAAAATTCTAGAAGAAAACATAAGCAGTAAAATCCGAGTCATCTCATGTAGGGAATTTTCGCCAATACATCACCTAAAGCAAGAGAAACAAAGGACAACAAAATAAACAAATGGACTACATCAAACTAAAAAGCTTATGACCAGCATCAAAATAAAAAGAACATAATTGCCAACAATACATCTGATAAGGGGTTAATTTCCAACACATATAAAGAACTCATACAACTCAACAAAAGGAAGACAAACAATCCAATTAAAAATGGGCAGAGCACCTGAATAGACACTTCTCCAAAGAGGACATACAGATGGCCAGGAGACATATGAAAAGATGGTTAATGTTACTCATCATCAGAGAGATGCAAATTAAAACTACAGTGAGGTATCACCTCACATTTGCCAGAATAGCTATCATCAACAAATCCTTGAACAACAAGTGCTGGCAAGGGTGTGGAGAAAAGGGGACTTTAGTACACTGCTGGTGGGAATGCAGACTGGTACAGCCACTATGGAAAACAATATGGTGTTTCCTCAAAAAATTAAAAATGAACCTGCCATTTGAGCCAGTGATCCCACTTCTAGGAATATATTTTAAGAATCCCAGAACACCAGTCAGAAGAAATATATGTACCCCTATGTTCATAGCAGCACTATTTACAATAGCTGAGATCTGGAAACAGCCCAAGTGCCCATCAGTAGATGAATGGATAAAAGAGTTATAGTACACATACAAAATGGAATACTATGCAGCTGTAAAAAAGAAGGATATCTTACTTTTTGTAACAGCAGAGATGAATCTGGAGAGTATTATGCTGAGCGAAATAAGCTAGTCAGAGAAAGACAAATATTACATGATCTCACTTATATGTGGAATCTAATGAACAAAATAAACTGATGAAAAAAATAGGTCCAGAGGCATGGATACTGACAGATTTCAGAGGGAAGGGGGTGGGGGGTGGGAAATAATTAACCGAAGAACTTATATGCATATATGCACACAGACAGTAGTGAGGTAAAGGCCTGGGGTGGGGCAGGAACCAGGTGGAGGGGCACAATGTGGGGAAATGGGGGACATCTGTAATACTCAGGAAACATGCAATTGTCATGTATGCTGACGTTCAAGGTGCCTGTGGTGAGGCCTCGGATGGGAAGGAGGACCTGGGCGTTAGAGCCCGGACGACGGGGCCTTCTGCTGTGAAGTGTCCGTGGATGTGGCTGAATTCTGTTCTACTGTTCTGTGCAAAGCAGGGCTCGTGGGCCAAGCCCTTTGACCAGCATCAAAGGCCTGGCCGGTTTGCTGCCCTGTGGAGGTGGGAGGAGAGGGAGAAGCTGAAGGAGGCATGCAGAGGGGCCAGGACAGCCTGTGGGGAGAGCGCGCTCCGGAAACAGGGCCCAGGCGCGGCTCAGGGGCCATGCATGAGGCTCACGGACGCCACCAGCCAGGAGAGCGTGTTGGGGTCCAGGGCCCACAGGGCTTTGAGAGTCTCACAGGAACAGGCCTGCCTGGGCCAAAGACAGTCTGTGGCCATTTGGGTGCCACTGCCACCAGGGCCAAGAGGACTCGGGTCTCAACTCTGAAGGTGGGCTGCCACACAGCCCCCGAGTACAGAGCACGGAGCCGAGGGTCTTCTGAGGCCTCAAAGTCTACTGGGGTTTGGGCCCTGGCTGGGTAGCTCAGTGGGTTAGAGCGTCATCCCGATATGCCAACGCCGTGAGTTCCATCCCTGGTCAGGGCACACACTGGAAGCAGCCAATGAATGCAGAGAAGTGGAACAACAAATCCAACTTTCTCTCTAAAATCAATTCTAAAACGTCTGATGGGGTTTGCTCTTCAGGCTTTCGACCAACTTGGGGCCGATGGCCTCCCCTCCTTCCTGCTCCTCCCTCTGGAGTGGGAGTCTGGCCCTGGGCCGTCCCACCGCGAGCCCGGGTCTGGTCCCACAAGCACGCTGGGGAACACTCGTCCCTGGATCCGACTGACAGTTGATCCTGGCTGGGTTAAGACCTGCAGGGTGTGGGGATGGGTATTTTTTAAAAAAAATTTTTTTCTTTAATTTTAGAGAGAGAGGAAGAGAGAGGGAGAGAGAGATAGAAACATCAATGAGAGAGAACATCGATTGGCCGCCTCCCCCACTGGGGATGGGGCCCACAACCTGGGCACGTGTCCTGACTGGGAATTGAACCGGCGACCTCTTGGTGCCTGGGTCGATGCTCAACCACTGGTCCACACTGGCTGGGCTGGGATGGGGATTTTGCATGTGAGAAGGATGTGAATTTGGGGGGCGGGGGGTGGACTGTTATGGCTTGAGTTGGTCCCCCAGTTTATATATTGACGTCCTGTCCCACTGGTACCACAGAAGGTGACCTTGTTAAGAGGACCAAGGATATGATTAGTGGGTTAAAAGTGAAATTGTTCTGGCCCTGGCCAGTTTGGAGCAGCAGTTGGAGTGTCGGCTGGTGGACCCAAGTTGTGGGTTTGATTCCCAGTCAAGGGCACGTGCCTGGGTTGCAGGTTAGATTCCCAGCCCCAGTCAGGGTCATGCAGGAGGCACCCAGTCGATGTGTCTCTCTCACACCAATGTGTCTCTCACACCAATGTGTCTCTCTCCCTCCTTCCCTCCCTTCCACTCTCTCTAAAATCAATGAAAAATATCCTTGGGTGAGGATGAATAAGAACAACAGAAGTGAAGTTGCTCTGGGCTGAGCTGGGCCCATGGCCTCCCAACCTAGTATGACTGAATTTATGAGAAGGGGGTTTGGGGACAGACAGACACACACAGGGCAAGGCCAGGAGGCTGGGAAGGCACGTGGCACGGATCAGCCTCTGGGAACAGGCCTGCCCACACCTGACAGAATACATTCTGTTGTCTAAGCCGCCCAGTGTGTGGCTCTCTGTCATGGCTGCCTCTGAACACTCACGGGTGCTGTGCTGAGGGCCAGCCGCGTCCGTGTGAGACTGTGCTGCGTGCGCCTGGCGCTGCGTGAGGCCCTGCTCGAGTCCCCCAGCCCGCAAGGTTGGGCCAGGATGGGATCCATTTAACCTAAACGAAGCTGGAGCCTGGACACTGTCCACTCGGAATCTGTGGCCGGGGGACAGGTTTCCCTTGGGAAGCATGTCCTTTTCCAGTTCTGTCTTGGATAGTCACCCCTTCAGGGCCAAGCTAATGCCTAGGCCCCAGACACCTCGTGATGGCCAGTCCTTAGCCCTGTGAGCCCCGGGTGGCTCCCGCGCCCCTCAAACTGCCCCCTCCCAAAGCCTGACTCAGCAGGCTCCTGCCCCTTGTCACCTCCCAGGACCACGGCTCTGCTGGGTCTTCTCTGACTTCTCTGGAGCTGCCTCTGTCCAAACCCTCCCCAGCACAGCCGGCCTGGACGCTGCATGACCTGGGGCTGCCCGGCTGTCCACCCTGGCCTAGTGAGCCCCCAACATGGCTCCTGCCTGCCGGCACCTCATGCCCTGCCATTGCTCCTTGGCCCGGCTGCCACCGGCCCTGCTTTTGGTGACATGGTGACAGAGTCTTTCCCTGCTGTCCTGCCTCCCCATCACACATGCTTGTGACTGGTCACTAGTCGCTGTCTGTCCCCTGGATCCTAGCGGCACACCCCAGACACACTATGAGGGGTGGGACAAGACCTCGAAGTGGCTGGGCTTTCTAGGAACTGCGACAGGCAGTGGCCATGCACCCCTGGCACAGTGACACGTGTCCTGCTGGGGTTCCGGGCACAGGCCCTGTATAGCTGAGGGGCCCGAGCCCAGCTCTGCCGAGGTTGTGATGGGGAGACCAGGCCTGTGTTCCTGAGGCTCAGCTGGCTCCCCGCCCCCCCAGGCTGACCAGCCCCTCGCCTCGGGCCTGAGCAGAGGGCGTGCTCTGGGGAGAAACCTCCACGCGGAAGCAGTTTCACAAGATAACGTACATATTTATTCCAAGACGACATGGTCACAGGCAAGTGCGTACATTGCAAAGCGGTGCCCGGGCAGAGCCGCGGCTGTGGGCTCCACGCTCCCTCACGGCCGCGTCCAGAGAGGCGGTTTCCGAAGCAGCGAGCTGGAGGGCGGCACAGGGGAGAGCTAAGTACAAGTGGACCCAGCGTGCGGCCAGCCCTGGGCTCAAGGCGGCAGGCGCCCCTCTTGGCTCCATCTTCTCGGTGTCTACGCTCTGTCCTCCGGTCACTTCACCTGCGGGTGACAGAGGCAGCGTGAGGCACTCCCCCCTGTGGGTCTCGGTGCCCTCGCGCCCGGCCCTCCGGCCTGCCCACCCCTCTACCTTGAACAGGGTGACCGTCGTGCTGTAGAAGAGACTGAGGAGGAACAGGACGATGAAGGTGGAGGCCATGGTGTTCAGGTTCTCAAAGCCTTCCTCATCGGCGCTCACCTCCCCCTCTGCCGGGACACAACACGGGGCTGAGGCTCTGCCCGCAGAGCACAGCCCTCCCCAGGCCACCCTCCACCCACTGCCCTCAGTCCTGGCTGTGCTGCCCCCGGAGGGCTGGGCAGGGCAGAGGGCAGAAGCAGAACGCAGCAGGGAGGGGACTTGCAGAGCATAGACTGTGCCCTGGGGGCTGGGTCTGAGCCAGGCACAAGCTGGACCTCTGACAGCCTGATGGGCGGCCGGGCAGAGGCACCTGTCCTGGGGTGCAGGATGGTGAGAGCAGCTCACAGACTCGGGGTGGGTACGGCAGGGCGGGACAGAGGGGTGGGGACCCCGGGAGAGTGCTTCCAGGGTCCTGGACTCTCCTAGATGGGTGGCGGGACAGCCAGGGCTGCTTGGGGTGGAAGAGCTGGGAGGGGGCCTCCTGTCACCTGCGGTTTGGGGCAGCAGTGGGGGCTGACAGATGTCTGGGCATGAGGGACACCCTCCTGTCCTTCTCAGGGGGACTCTCGCTCTCTCCTCGGAGTGGAGGGCACGCGTGAGAACCATGCGGGGCCCTGGACGCTTGTCTGCCCCACTAGGAATCATGTCTCTGGGACCAAGGGGTCAGACAGACACCAGAGGCTCCGGAGAGAGTGACTTTAGGATGGACAGATGGACACATACAGTGGGGTCTGGAGCCCCCAACACACATGGGCCTTTGAGGCAGTGTCTGGAGCCCAGGTGGCCAAAGGCTCAGAAACATGGGGTGTCTCAGAGGTGGCCCGAAGGGGCGGTGCCGTCAGCTGGGAATGGAGACTCACTTGTCCCCTTTGCCCCTCACTTCCCGCTGCAGACTGTCTTTCCCGTTTCCAGGGCCACAGCCTCCAGATCAGCCTCCCTGCCCCCAGGACATGCCCAGCTCTTTCTGTTCACAGGGGGGTGCGGGTCCTGCTGCTTTCATCAGCAACCTGCACAGGGCTGGGGTGTCCCTGAGGAGCTGCAGCTGGTCAGCCCAGGGTGGCCCTCTGAGCCCTTTGCCCTGGGCCTGGGATGGGGGCCCTGGTCAGAGGCCTGGCTGGGCTGGCCCACGATTGCACCTCCAAGCTGAGACAGAGGACAAGCAGGCCCTGGGCAGAAAGACATGCAGCAAGCGTGGTGCAGAGAGGCAGGTGTGTCTGCAGAGGCACCCAGTGACCAGGGCGCACAGGATGAGCATCCTTGTGCATGTATGTGTCTGTGTGCACATGCATGTGTGTGTGCCTGCATGCAAACATCTGTGTGTCCATGTGCCTGTGTACATCTATGTGTCCATGACTTGTTTGTGTGTGCAAATGTAGGAGTGCATGTGTCCTTGTGTGTATAAGTGTACATGTATCTGTGTGTGCATGTGTCCATGTCTTTGCATGTGTGCACGCACATCAGTGCACATGTGTCTGTGTGCCCACGTCCACTGTATGTGTGTCTCTGCATCCATGTGCATTTGTGTCTCTGTGTGCACATATTCATATATGTGCATGTGCCTATGTACATGCACGCACACATCTCTGTACATGCCTATGCATGTGTGTATGAGTGTGCATGTATCTGTGTGTCTGAGTGTGTAGGTATCTGTATTTGTGTGCATGTGTTCATGTCTTTGCATGTGTGTGCTTGTGTCTCTGTGTCCATGTGTATGCCTGTTTCCATGTGCATGTATGTCTCTGCATGTACATGTCTGTGCATGTGTGTATGAGTGTGCATGTGTATGAGTGTGTACTTGTGTCTATGTATTTGCATGCATATGCACATATGCATGTGCTTATGTGTCCATGCTCACTGTGTATTTGTGTCCATGTTCATGTGTGTGCATGTCCATATCTGTGCACATGTGCATGTGTGTATACATGTGTGTCTGTGTGTACCTGTGTGCTCATGTCCACTGCATTGTGCCTGTGTGTTTACATGTGTGCATGTGTGTTGCACACCCATGTCCTTGTGAGCCTGTAGCAGCAGTGGAGGAGCGGTGAGCATTGGTTCTGTCCGCTGTGAGCATTCTGTAAGGGGCTCAGGGCTTCCAGCAGCAGGTGGGAGGCCAGTGGATTAGGCAGGGATGGGGATGATGGTGGAGGGTGGGCTGCGGGATGGGGGCAGCACAGCAGGCAAGAGCATTGCTCACTCAGGACCAGCATCTTTTGAACGGATCTTTTTATTTCTAATTTTTATAGAATGCAACATCCCAGACAGTTTGCACACACACAGTGACAAGTCAGCCAGAGGCTCTGGGGACCACCCTTGAGGGGCAGCCTGGCGCTCAGTGGCAGGTGCTGGCCAGGTCAGACATGACCAGGGACACGTTGTACAGGGTGGGTTTACCGGTGGACTTGTCCACGGTCCTCTCGGTCACCGAGTGGGGCAGGGCCTCATGGGCCACGACACAGGTGTAGGTCTCGCCGGCAGACCAGTCCTCTTCACTCACGGTCAGGATGCTGTGGACGAAGTAGAGGCCAGGGGCCTGGGGCTCGGGCATCGGGGCACTGGTCACATACGTTTCAGGGGCCACCGGCTGCCCTCTCTGCATCCACTGCACAGACACATCTGCAGGCGAGAAGCTCTTCACCAGGCAGGTGACCGAGGCTGACTCCCGCAGGCTCAGCTGTTCCCTGCTTGGTGGCAGCACGTACACAGAGGGCATTTGCTTGTGGCCTCCTGTGGAAAGAGAGGCGTTGGTGAGCTCAGGTTGGGGGCAGTGGGATTTGTCCTCTGACAACAGGAGGGGTGCTCCCGGCCCCGCCTGTGGTGTCTCTGGACCCTCGAGGCCACGGGAGCTTGGGGCAGCAGGAAGGGCGGGCAGGGCCTACCCTTGGGCTTGAAGACGGTGTGCTTCAACGGCGAGGGCAGGTCCGTGTGGGTCACTGTGCACGTGAACTCATCTCCTGTCTCCCAGTCCTCCACGCACACTGTGGTCCATCCTGTGGCACTGAAGGTGGAATTGGGGTGGCTCTCGGAGATGTTGGTGTGGGTTTTCAGTTCCTCGCCATTCTGGCGGCTCCAGGTGATGGTCAGGCTGTCATAGGTGGCCAGGTCTGTGACCAGGCAGGACAGCTTGGCAATCTTGGTGAGAAAGATGCTGGCGAAGGAGGGTGGGATGGCGAAGATTTTGATGGTGGATGTACCTGGGACAGGAGAGTGGGTTTGAGTGACTGGCTGGATGTGAAACCAGGCAAAGGTGTAGACTTTGCTGGGCCTCTCCAGAGCCCCGGGCTCCTGCTGGAGGCCCACTGGGTCCCCACCTGACAAGTGACTCCAAGCTGCCCTGCACAGCCCCTCCCTGCCTTGGCCTCATCTCGGGCAGTGTCTGCAGACCCGAGTGGACACCTATATGTTGGGGGAGGTCTTCACCCTCCATATGTTGAGGGGGCCGCCCTCGGAGGCAGGACTACTCACTGGAGCCACAGATGGACGACATGTTCTTCTGCAAGGTCACCTGATTGTGCTCTACTTGGCAGGTGAACACGTTCTGGTTGAGCCAGTCACTCTCGGTGATGGTCAGCATGCTGGTGACCTTGTAGGTCACGGGTCGGGACTGTTTGTTGTCCACTTCCACCTTGTCTGTGGTGAAGCCGGAGGTCAGCAGCTTCCCCTCCTGCAGCCAGGACACAGAGATCTTCTTGGGGCTGAAGTTCGTGGCCTGGCAGATGAGCTTGGACGTGCGCGGGCCGTTGTTGAAGGAGCCACGGGTCGGGATGAAGACGCTCACATTGGGGGGATGATTTGAGGTTCCTTGTGATCCTGTTGCGAGGGGTCACATGTCAGCCGGCCCCCCTCATGGCCCTCCGCCCCTCCCCCACCTGCTGACAGCAGGAGGCTCCATCTCACCTGGTAGGGGCACTTTTACGTTTTCATTAGAGTCGAAGTGTTTGACTTTGCATGTCACAAACTCGTCTGTGCCCTGGAGGATGTCAGCAGAGGACAGGAGCAGCTGGGAGCTGGCCGCATACTTGCCCTCCCTGAAGACCGATGGGAAGTCGTAGAAGGCTTGGCTGTTGACGGCACTGTTGTTCTGGTAGATCCAGGAGAAGGTGACGGGGGTGGGCAGGAAGTCCTTGGCCAGGCAGCCCATGGCCACGGGGGACTCATCGGACAGGGGGTCCTCACAGGAGATGAGCGGGAAGAGGTTTGGGGAAGACTGGGTCCCTGAAGACCAAGAGGGACACAAGAGAACGGGGTATGAGAAGGTGTCTCCCCACGTATTGCCAGCCAGGGGCCAGCCCCATTGCACCACGCGGCCCCTCCAGAGCCAAGCCCACGACAGGCCTCCGAGGCCTTGCCACCTGTGTGGCAGGTGGTTGTGGCAAGGCTGGAGTCTGGGCACAAGGCTACGGGTGTGGGAGGCGGCCACAGCCTCCACTCAGCACAGGAGCCAGCTCTGAGCATGGGAAGACTAGACTGCTTCTTGTGGGAGCTGCCTGGTCTGGCCCACCCTTCCCCAGCAACACTGCCCCCGTATCCCGGAACACAGGGACCCTGCTCCCGGCTCTGCAGTCCCTCTGGACACGGGAGCTGCCATACTCAGCCCCAGCACAGAGAGCCCCAGGTGGCGGCCGCTGAGGAGAGGAGACCCTGGGAACCCAGGCCTCCCGGCCCTGACTCAGCCACGCTGGAGCCCAGCCCTGCTTGCGGGGGTGATGTGTGGGACCAGTGCATTCAACTGGACACATCCTGAGCACAACGAGGTCACTGAGGTCAGCCCAGTTTCAGCCGGGACAGTCCTGCACAGCCAGCTCAGCCCAGTGGGACCCATATGGCCCAGCCAGGTGAATGTAGCCCAAAGTAATCATTAAAGTCCTTCGAGTTAAGCCAGCTCACTCTACTGTGCTCATCCGTGCTCAGCCCAGCTCAGCCCAATTCAGATCAGCTCAGCCCAGCCCAGCCTAGTTTAGCCCAGTTCAGTCCAGTTCGGCCTAGCTCACTGAGCTCACCCAGCCGGGCTCAGCCCAGCTCACCCGGCTCAGCTCAGCTCACCCGGCTCAGCTCAGCTCACCCAGTTCACCCAGCTCACCCAGCTCAGCTCACCCGGCTCACCCGGCTCACCCAGCTCACCCAGCTCACCCAGCTCAGCTCACCCAGCTCACCCAGTTCACCCAGCTCAGCTCACCCAGCTCAGCTCACCCAGCTCACTCAGCTCACCCAGTCCAGATCACCCAACCCAGCTCACCCAGCTCAGCTCACCCAGCCCAGCTCACCAGCTCAGCTCACCCAGCTCAGCTCAGCTCGGCTCACCCAGCTCAGCCCAGCTCACCCAGTTCAGCTCACCCAGCTCACTCAGCTCACCCAGCCCAGCTCACCAGCTCAGCTCACCCAGCTCAGCTCAGCTCGGCTCACCCAGCTCAGCCCAGCTCACCCAGTTCAGCTCACCCAGCTCACTCAGCTCACCCAGCCCAGCTCACCCAGCTCAGCTCACCCAGCTCAGCCCAGCTCACCCAGCTCAGCTCACCCAGCTCACTCAGCTCACCCAGCCCAGCTCACCCAGCTCAGCTCACCCAGCTCAGCCCAGCTCACCCAGTTCAGCTCACCCAGCTCACTCAGCTCACCCAGCCCAGCTCACCCAGCTCAGCTCACCCAGCTCAGCCCAGCTCACCCAGCTCAGCTCACCCAGCTCAGCCCAGCTCACCCAGCTCAGCTCAGCTCACCCAGCTCAGCCCAGCTCACCCAGCTCAGCTCACCCAGCTCACTCAGCTCACCCAGCCCAGATCACCCAGCCCAGCTCACCCAGCCCAGCTCACCCAGCTCAGCTCAGCTCACTCAGCTCAGCTCAGCTCAGCTCAGCTCACCCCAGCTCAGCTCAGCTCACCCAGCTCAGCCCAGCTCACTTAGCTCAGCTCAGTTCACCCAGCTCAGCTCAGTTCAGCTCAGCTCACCCAGCTCAGCTCACCCAGCTCAGCTCAGCTCACCCAGCTCAGCTCCGCTCAGCTCCGCTCTCAGCTCAGCTCAGCTCCTCTCAGCTCAGCTCAGCTCAGCTCACCCCACCCAGCTCACCCAGCTCAGCTCACCCAGCCCAGCTTACCAGCTCAGCTCACCCAGCTCAGCTCAGCTCAGCTCACCCAGCTTAGCTCAGCTCACCCAGCTCAGCCCAGCTCACCCAAGCTCAGCTCAGCTCAGCCAGCTCCGCTCAGCTCAGCTCAGCTCAGCTCCGCTCAGCTCAGCTCCGCTCAGCTCAGCTCAGCTCACCCAGCCCAGCTTACCAGCTCAGCTCACCCAGCTCAGCTCAGCTCAGCTCAGCTCACCCAGCTTAGCTCAGCTCACCCAGCTCAGCCCAGCTCACCCGGCTCAGCTCAGCTCACCCAGCTCAGCCCAGGTCACCCAAGCTCAGCTCAGCCAGCCCAGCTCACCCAGCTCAGCCCAGCTCAGCTCAGCTCACCCAGCTCAGCTCAGCTCAGCCAGCTGAGCCCAGCTCACCCAAGCTCAGCTCAGCCAGCCCAGCTCACCCAGCTCAGCCCAGCTCACCCAGCTCAGCTCACCCAGCTCAGCCCAGCTCACCCAGCTCAGCTCACCCAGCTCAGCTCACCCAGCTCAGCCCAGCTCACCCAGCTCAGCTCACCCAGCTCACTCAGCTCACCCAGCCCAGATCACCCAGCCCAGTTCACCCAGCTCAGCTCACCCAGCCCAGCTCACCAGCTCAGCTCACCCAGCTCAGCTCAGCTCAGCTCAGCTCACCCAGCTTAGCTCAGCTCACCCAGCTCAGCCCAGCTCACCCAAGCTCAGCTCAGCCAGCCCAGCTCACCCAGCTCAGCTCAGCTCACCCGGCTCAGCTCAGCTCACCCAGCTCAGCCCAGGTCACCCAAGCTCAGCTCAGCCAGCCCAGCTCACCCAGCTCAGCTCAGCTCACTCAGCTCAGCTCAGCTCAGCTCAGCTCACCCAGCTCAGCTCAGCTCAGCTCAGCTCAGCTCAGCTCAGCTCAGCTCAGCTCAGCTCACCCCAGCTCAGCTCAGCTCACCCAGCTTAGCTCAGCTCACCCAGCTCAGCCAAGCTCACCCAAGCTCAGCTCAGCCAGCCCAGCTCACCCAGCTCAGCTCAGCTCACCCGGCTCAGCTCAGCTCACCCAGCTCAGCCCAGGTCACCCAAGCTCAGCTCAGCCAGCCCAGCTCACCCAGCTCAGCTCAGCTCACTCAGCTCAGCTCAGCTCAGCTCAGCTCACCCAGCTCAGCTCAGCTCAGCTCAGCTCAGCTCAGCTCACCCCAGCTCAGCTCAGCTCACCCAGCTCACCCAGCTCACCCAGCTCACCCAGCTCAGCTCAGCTCAGCTCAGCTCACCCCAGCTCAGCTCAGCTCACCCAGCTCACCCAGCTCAGCTCAGCTCAGCTCAGCTCAGCTCACCCAGCTCTGCTCCGCTCACCCAGCTCAGCTCAGCTCAGCTCAGCTCAGCTCAGCTCACCCAGCTCACCCAGCTCCGCTCCGCTCACCCAGCTCCGCTCAGCTCAGCTCAGCTCACCCAGCTCCGCTCCGCTCACCCAGCTCCGCTCAGCTCAGCTCACCCAGCTCAGCTCAGCTCACCCAGCTCAGCTCACCCAGCTCAGCTCAGCTCAGCCCAGCTCAGCCCAGCTCACCCAGCTCAGCTCACCCAGCTCCGCTCAGCTCAGCTCAGCTCACCCAGCTCCGCTCCGCTCACCCAGCTCCGCTCAGCTCAGCTCAGCTCACCCAGCTCAGCTCAGCTCACCCAGCTCAGCTCAGCTCACCCAGCTCAGCTCACCCAGCTCAGCTCAGCTCAGCCCAGCTCAGCCCAGCTCACCCAGCTCAGCTCACCCAGCTCAGCTCAGCTCAGCCCAGCTCAGCTCAGCTCAGCCCAGCTCACCTAGCTCACCCAGCTCAGCTCAGCTCACCCAGCTCAGCTCACCCAGCTCAGCTCAGCTCAGCCCAGCTCAGCCCAGCTCACCCAGCTCAGCTCACCCAGCTCAGCTCAGCTCAGCCCAGCTCAGCTCAGCTCAGCCCAGCTCACCTATCTCACCCAGCTCAGCTCACCCAGCTCAGCCCAGCTCACCCAGCTCAGCTCACCCAGCTCACCCAGCTCAGCTCACCCAGCTCAGCTCACCCAGCTCAGCTCACCCAGCTCACCCAGCTCAGCTCACCCAGCTCAGCTCAGCTCAGCTCACCCAGCTCAGCTCACCCAGCTCAGCTCAGCTCACCCAGCTAAGCCCAGCTGCTCAGAAAGCTCAGTTTAAACTGGTTTAGTCCAGCTCAGCTCAGGCCCTGAGTAACCCAGTGTAACCCTGGACCGACCTGAAAGCCCAGTGGTTCTGGCTAGAAAAGGTCAGACCACTAGACATGCTTGCCTCAGCTGAAGCCGTCTCATCCAGGAGTTCTGAACACTGGGCTCGGCCCAGGTCAGTTCCTTTCCGGGGCCTCTCCTTGCCTTTCACCCTGGGACACCCCAGTTCCCTGGCCCCAGCTGGCTTTCGGCTCCCAAATAGTACCAATCACTACCCTCCTTCAGCGATCTGGCTAAAATACTTCCTGGCAACTTTAAGTCATTAAAACGTCTCGCAGGAGTGGGGAACACTGGACTTGGCAGCACTGCTCCCGTGTGGAGGAGAGGCTGGGGTGGTCTCCGTGGCCCATGCCCTACAATCAGCCCCCAACTCTAACCACGTCTCCTCTAGAGAAAAATCATCACTAGAAATGGCCAGGAAATGCATTTTTCTGAATTTGCCCCTTAGAATTCTGCTCTTCAGCACAAAGTTCTTTGGACAGCGTGGGCAATGTTCTAATGCGCGGTAACAGCTGTAAAACAAAGCTGGGTCCACCTGGTGGAAAGACAGCGGAGGTGGGACCTGGTCTGGGTCGCACCATCGGCAGCGGGGTGGCCACAGGGCACCATCCGCCATGCTCCTCTGGAGTGTTCTTTAGGGAAAGTTAAATGTGAGTGGCCCAAAGTAGGGCAGCTCAAGGGGTCACATAGACAGGCCTCTGCACCTTCACTGAACACCCATCATCCAAGACCCCCCTTCAAGTGGAAGCGAAACCCTGAGACCTCTGTCCCCAGCAGGTTGGCAGCAGGCTGCCTCTCCCTTACCATGTCTGCCCGGTCACTCGAAAGTCCTGTGGGGTCCTTGTCACACAACAATTTCTCCAAATCCACTACTCACGACACTCGGGACTTGGGACTTGAGACTTGGGGTCGTGGGCAGGGCTGGCAGCAGAAGCCAGGGCTGCGCCTCCCGAGCCTGGGGTTCGGGGCCGCTCTCAGACCCTCCACGGGAATAACTTCGAGTCAGAACGTGTCCTTGCAACGTGCCGGGTTCCTTTCTGACTCCAGACCTGACTGGTTTCCTCTTAATCCAGTCACTAACATGACTGAAATCGTTCCAGACAATGACACACATTTCACCTGCAATGGGTCCTCAAAGGAATACGTGGAAAAATACGGCAACAAAGGCAACTCTATCCGAATATCAAAGTGTGTCTTCGCCACGGAGAGAAAGCTGACTAATGCTAAAAACCGTGGCGGCCACCGTGTAAACAGTGCTTTGGGGACAGGGAGCCTGCGTGAGGTTCATGACCACCTGAAGGGAGAGCTAATTAAGAACCCTTCCATGGACGCACTGAGGAATGGCCCCTAAGGCTGTTTAATTTCTTCACCGTCTTACTTGGAAAGTGAGTACACACGAGAAGTTAAGCTAAGACTTGAAAAATTAAACCCAAATCGTCAAAAGAGGAACCGCCTGGCCTCTGTCTGCATCGTGGCCTTAATTTAGAACGCGGATCGCCCAGGTGCTGTTTTGCTCAGAGCAACATTTTTAGATTTGTGGTCGAAACCACCCGAAACCACTTCTTCATAACCGTAAGCTATAAATTTGTCAGTCCTGTTTTCTTGTTTCCCAAAATAGACTCTGGCTGCCCGCCCGCTTCCGGCCACCAGCTGCAGGTGGCGGCCCCAGCGCCCGGCTGCCAGCCCACCCCCACCCGCTCCGAGCACCCCTCAACTCATTAAAAAATAAATTAATTGATTTTTGTCAAAACTCAGCCTTGAATCGGGGCCCACGGTCCCGAGTCACCATGTGTTGGCTAAATTGTCACCGCTATCGACTCCAGAAAGACTTGAGTCTTGACTGTTAGTTAAATGATAAGATCAAAACATTTAAAATACTCGAAAATCTCTCACATTTTAAAGTCACACTTTTCTTAACCACTTTCCACAGGAGCCACTTCCAAGATACCCTGTCTTTCAATACTCAATAAGCCTCTTAAGAGGAGCAAAGCGGTGTCTCTTAGAAGCTGCCGCCCTGGCCCGAGCCCTCTGGCCTGAGCGCTCCGGGGCCCAGGCACCCCTGTCTCGGAGGTCACCGGGACCGTGCTCTCCCTAGCCAATAAAGACATCTGAATATAATCTAGCAATTTTTAAATTAAATTATATAAAAGTAATGGACTTGAAAAAAAATCCAGTCTAGCCCAGAACTTGACTCCTAAGACCACTGTCCCCCCGAGCTCTCTGTCTGCCTGTGCCGCTCCTGGTTCCACAAACACCGGTGCCAGGACAGAATGTCCTGCCGCAGCCCCACTGGCCCTCGACCGGGTCCGGATCTCTCACCCCAGCCCAGCCCTTCAAGCCGGCAGCCCCTCTTTCAGGGGCTCCCTGGATCTCCGAAAGGTGTCAGAAAATCAGGAGGCTCTGAAGGACCCGAGCCCCAGTCCCGGTCCTCCCCAGCCAGCCTGCCCAGGCCCCCGGGGGAGACATGCCCCGAGGACCAGCCACTTAAGCCCAGAAAAACCCACAGAGAGGAGCAGAAAATAAAGGCCCGAGAAGGGCCATTCTTACCTGAGGAGACGGTGACTTGGGTCCCCTTGCCCCAGTAGTCCATACCGTAGTAATCACAACAGCGCAATCCCCGTCCTCACCCCACAAAAACAGTGGGTCTGGCCCGGCACTGCCTGAGGCTGCCCGGAGACCTGCACTGTCTCCAGGGGCCACTTGGAAGCCGACCCAAGTCACTGTGATCGGGAGGGTCCTGGCCCCTCCGTCATCTGCTCCTCAAACCTGGCCCCGCAGAGGCCAGATCACCGGCTACCTGGCCCCCTGACTGTGAACCGACAGCCCCTAACTGGAACTCAAAGTCCAAGCGATGTAGATGGCCACCTGCCTCTCAGCGGGCACAGCGGAGCCCACGGAGCCGAGGACAGGGCAGTCACACTGCCCCTCTGGTCCCCACACTGCACTGTCCTTGGGGAGGACAGATTGGTCTCCAGCCCCCACTTAGGGGCCCCTCTCCTGGGCTCCCTTTGCTGACCTCCAAAATGCCTTGGTGTCTCTGATATTCAGACCCGACACCCCAATCTCCCCAAGTACAGTGACAGTGGGGACGGGGTGAGGACTCACCTGAGGAGACAGTGACCAGGGTCCCCTGGCCCCAGTATTCGAACCAGTTGTCACATTGTGACAACTATGCCGACATCTTGGACAAGAACTGGTGCCCAGCCAAGGCCTCAGGTCCACCTCAGATCGTGCCCAGTGAGGGCCGAGGGCACCACAGGACCCAGAGGCCGAAGGTGGCCAAGACCGCCAGAAAGACCCCGGCTGCAGAGCCCAGGAGCCTCGGTCCCCTCCCAGTCCCGTTCCTGAGCCTCAGGCTGGCCCCAGTCCTTCTAGACCTGGGACTCAGACACCCTAATTTTTCCCCCAAAAGGCATCAAAAAACCCCAGAGAGAGAGAGGAGAGAGTGGTTGTGAGGACTCACCTGAGGAGACGGTGACCATGGTTCCTTTGCCCCAGTAATCAAAGTAATCACATTGCCACGGGCCCCGTTAGGCAGTGTACAAAAACCCAGCCCCCTGCCCAGCACCGGCCCCCCACAGAAAGCCTGGCTTCTCAGGTCTCTGTGTCCTGACTCAGCCCACTCTGCCTTCCAGGGCAAAGGCCCCTGTCCCCCACAAAAGGCTGTCTGCCGGGCAGAGACCCAAACGGCCTGCGGAGCAGCCCCCTGGGACTCCCAGGACCCCACAGAGTCTCTGGACATCTCTTTCCCAGCCCCAGAACAGAGGAGACAGAGAGGAAGCCGGCTTACCTGAGGAGACGGTGACCATGGTCCCTTTGCCCCAGTAGTAAAAATTGTCACATTGCCACGGGCCCCGTTAGGCAGTGTACAAAAACCCAGGCCCCCTGCCTAGCACCGGCCCCCACAGAAAGCCTGGCTTCTCAGGTCCCTGTGTCCTGACTCACAGCCCACTCTGCCTTCCAGGGCAAAGGCCCCTGTCCCCCACGAAAGGCTGTCTGCCGGGCAGAGACCCAAATGGCCTGCGGAGCAGCCCCCAGGGACTCCCAGGACCCCACAGAGTCTCTGGACATCTCTTTCCCAGCCCCAGAACAGAGGAGACAGAGAGGAAGCCGGCTTACCTGAGGAGACGGTGACCATGGTTCCTTTGCCCCAGTAATCAAAGTCGTCACATTGCCATGGGCCCCGTTAGGCAGTGTACAAAAACCCAGGCCCCCTGCCCAGCACCGGCCCCCACAGAAAGCCTGGCTTCTCAGGTCTCTGTGTCCTGACTCACAGCCCACTCTGCCTTCCAGGGCAAAGGCCCCTGTCCCCCACGAAAGGCTGTCTGCCGGGCAGAGACCCAAATGGCCTGCGGAGCAGCCCCCTGGGACTCCCAGGACCCCACAGAGCCTCTGGACATCTCTTTCCCAGCCCCAGAACAGAGGAGACAGAGAGGAAGCCGGCTTACCTGAGGAGACGGTGACCAGGGTGCCTGGGCCCCAGATACCGAAAGCATCGCACAGGGACACAGTCCCTGGTCCTCCCCAGACAAAAATCTGCCTAGGCCCTCAGACAGCCCAGGCTTGCTGCCCTGCCCATGGCCACACAGACCCCACGGCTATGAGGCAGGCAGGCAGGGGCATCGTTATCCAGGGAGACAGTGACCAGGCCACCTTGGTAGCACAGCCTCCTCCTTTACAAAAATGCATCCCTCTCTCCTGTACCCCATCTGAGACCAAATACTACACCTGGCTCAGCACACCAGAGTCCCCCTGTCCCAGGTCGGACACCAGACACCAGACTTACCTGGGGAGACGTTGACCAGGGTGGTGGAAGTAATCATTGGCACAGTGGTGCTGAGGCCTCAGGAATCTCCACAGCCAGGGTCCCCAGGGAGCCCTGGAAGCTGGAGTCTGCTGTCTGCCGAAAGCACACCCACCTCATGTCCCTGGCAGGCTCCCTTCTGCCCTCAGTCCCCAGGTCTGGGTTCAGACATCCTTTCTGACACTTGGCTTGCTTTGGCCCCACAGGTCCCGATTCCCAGCTCAGCCCTGCAGACCTCTGACCAGGCTGCTCCCCAGCACCCCTCCCCCGTCCCTGGGCCTGGAAGGCATCTCCATTTCATGTTCTTACCCAACCCCCTTGAGCACCTGGCACTGAGCCCCGGGGTCGCTGGCCGGGTTTTTGTAGAGTTGTCAATCACTGTGGTTCCAGTTAGCACTGTGGTTCTTGGCTCAGCCAAAACCTCTAGGGGAGTGGGGGCCAGATGGGTGGAGGCTGATCTCCCCCGGAGGGCCAGGCAGGGGGCCCACAGAGCGGAGGAGACCCCAACACCCAGTGCTACTTTTCCCTTCTCCTTAGAAATAAGAGCAGATTCATTTGAGTTGTTTTCAGCTGGAGAAAGGCCTCGAGCCGGGGGCTGGTGGACCCTCACTCCATCGTTGATCTGCAGGGTGGGGTCTGTCAGCTTCTCAGCCCCAGAGGCTGCTTTCTCTCTCTGGTCACATCTGGTTAATTCTACCTGTTCACTGTTCCCCAAAGGTGCGGGCTCCTGGGGGTGACTGCTGAACCTCCGTGTCTCCACAAGGGTGGGTTCTCTCCCAGTCCCCTGGGCTGCTGGTCCTTGGGGAGGGGTCTCAGGAGGCCAGAGCAGGGAGAGGGTCCCCCTCCTCCACACCTGGCGGCTGCTTTCCCCCCACTCCACGGGCCACAGAGAGGAAGGACTGCATCACCACTTGTGAGACCTGGGGCTGGGTCCCAGGACTCAGAGGGCACCAGGTGGGCCCTTGGGGAAGTAGGCACACACAATCTCCCTTAGGCCAGGTGTCAGCCTGGCAGGTGTGATCAGGTGCAGCCCACTGCTGAGGGGAGACGGGCACAGATGCAGCCTCACAGCCCCGAGGACTGGAAGGGTGGGATGGTGCCCTGAATGCCGGCTGGGGGAGGGTGAGTGCCCAGAGTGTTGAGAAGTCTGTGTGCATGCATAGGTGTGAGCATGAGTGCACATACGTGTGCATCTGTGTATGCATGTGAGTGCACATATGAGACTGGGAGTGAACATGAGAGCACACATGAGTGTACGTGTGTGCACATGCATGAGCACGTGGGAGTATGATACTGTGCATGTGTGCGTATAGCTGAACATGTGGGTGTACATGCATGTACGAACATGTGAGTGTATATTTGTGAACACACAAACACGCATGTGAGTGTACGTGTGTGCACAGGTATGAGCACGTGGGAGTATGATACTGTGCATGTGTGTGCACAGGTGAACATGTGGGTGTACATGTGAGTGCACATGTATGTGCACCCGTATGTGTGCATGTGTACATGTGTACACGAGTGAGTACGTGTGTGTACATGTGTGTGACTCCAGGCAGAGAAATAGCTGAGTGAAGACCGAGGCTGGGCTGTGTGCCTGGAGAACTCAGGTGATGATGTGGCTGCATTTAGAAGTGACCTGAGTGCCCAGCGAGGAGGCTGAACGTGTGTGTGGGGCTTGCTTAGAGTCTTGCTCTAGAAGGTTCCGCCGGTCCAATGTGGATGGATTTGGGTTGGGCTGGGGGTGAGGAGTGGGAAGCCTGGGCGCTGAGAGCAGATCAGGGAGTCCGTGAGCAGGGCTGCAGGGCTCCCACAGGGGCAGGGAGAGAGGGGTCTCTGGGAGGTACTTCCAGGGCTTGAGACAAGCCTGGGTCCCAGGTTCCTGTCCCTGGGTCTTGAAGAGCCGAGGAGATGCCCCTGGTGGGTGGGGCACAGCGAGGGGCACAGTCGGGGTTAGTGGGGAGCGGGCTGAGGTGTGGGTTATGGCCTCACGGCCACTCCCCTCCTGAGCTCTGGGTGGGTGACGGGGAGGGTACGGCCTGCTCTCTCCTCCTGAGCTGGGGTCCTGCTCTCTGGGAGAGCATTGCTGTCCCAGCCTGCCCTCCAAGGCTCATGGGGGGTGGCTCACAGCTCATGGCAGGGCTTCCTCAATCCCCAGCCCCCCTCTGGAGGCACTTCCTGCTGTGGCCTGTCTCCCTTTCAGGGAGCAGGGGGAGGGGCTGCCCCAGGCTTTTCAGGAAGCACCTGCTTTGCTCTCCAGGCCTCTGGCTCCTGACTGGGGGTGGGGAGGTGCCCGCTATGCCCTGCCACCCCCTTTCATCCAGCTTAGCCCCAGCCCCAGCCCCCATCCTCTGTCCCTGGCCCCAGCCGCAGCCCAGCCTGTTCATCATGGCAGAGGACAGCCAGGCTGTAGGCATCGTCCGGCCTGTAGAGGACCCGGTTCAGCTCTTGCTGATCATGTGTCCTACTGGGTCCCCATGTGTGACAGGAGCTGCAGACCTCTTTGCGCCTTTCAGAGGGAGTCCCTGCCAGCCCTGCCTGCCTCTTCTGGGCAATGCTGTGCGTGCCTAGGGTCAGGGAGGCCGTGACAGATCCAGAGCTTAGACTGTGTGGCTGGCTGTGCTGATGTCCAGGCTGGGCTCCTTTGTAGAGTCCCACGGCCCAGTCCGGGGGGCCACCCCTGCCTCCACTGGTCCCAAGCACATGTCAGGGAAGGACATGGTATTACAGGTGTGCCCCAGCGGGTGCCAGGTGTGGCATCTGATGGGCGCAATGGGGCGGCCAGGACTGAACCCACCAGCTATGCTGAATTGGTCTTCGGGTCTCTGCCCACAGCTGTTGTTTCATGGGGGGCCTACCCCTCAGAGCAGGGATGGAAGGTGTCTCCCGTTTCGGCTGTTTCGAGCAGAACTTGAAGCCAAGCTGAGGGCTGAACCCCCGAGGGCAGGTGGTCCCTCATCTCCCTCGTTAGTCAGGACACGTTCAGGGGTCTGGGCACGTGACTCGGGAAGGAAGGTCACGGAGGGCAAACACACAGGAGGAAAGTCTGTGGCGCCCTCTCTCAGGTGAGCGGGACTCGCTGAGCGACTGAAGAGATGTGTGTTTGGGTGCTGTGCTCTCTTCCACAAACCCGCTTGCTTTCTCGACATTTTTTTATTCAAGAAGAATTTTTTGCCTGAAATTTTCATCTTATCCTTTGGCAATATATTTTCTGGTGTTTCCCTAGGAACACTTGGTACATTTTGCTGCTAAAAAAAAAAAAAATCAATACTGGTCCAGCTCAGAGTTATTACTAGTTCTTCACGAATTAAACCCCTCTGGCCCTTCTGTTTGCAGGTGTTT